GACTTACTCTAACTTGGTCAGTTTTGAAAATAGAAAAAAACTGTTGATACAAAAAATGCTCAAAAAAAAAAAATCTATCCGAATATGTAGAAAAAAAATAGTGTTTCTATTTAAAAAAATGTAAGTTGTATTGCGCATGCGCACACCAAAAGTGTTAATAAATTGAAATTTATCCAAAAATATGTATTTAGGTACTCCCTATCACCTCCCGAAAACGCCAGTTCAATACAAGGACATGCACCTGAGATATTTAGTATTACCATAAATCGTGATCACACTGTATATGTTTAAAAAATGAACTGTATTGTTTTAGAAACAATAGAAACTGATGAATATACATTTAAATTTTACTGTTTACTGTTTACTTTGTTTACAAATTATATTTTTCTTTATAATATTATATTAATTATATAAATTGTTTCCAAACTTTCAGTCGCTTGTTTAATATATTATTTATGAATATTATTTTTAGAGAAAGTTTTGAAAGAATTGAAAGAAGCAGAGAAAAGACAAAAGCAGTTAGAGAAAAAAGATAAAAAAGTATGTAGATTATATCTTTTTATTATCTAATTACTTAAAAATGTAATAACTTTCTGTTATTACTTTTATTTCATATTATTAATTGATCAAAATAATTATATAAATTTGCTGTGACACAAGGCTTCTACATGTGTGAAGAGGGGGCCAGAAGGATCCATAGTACTAGGGTTTGGCGTTCATGGCTTATGCAAATAATCACTTCAATATATTATATTAGAAAAATATTTGGCCTCTAATTTAGATTTTTACCAGGGCAAAAAATATGACGTGTGGGGCCTGCTCTGACATATTAACTATTAAGAGAATACATTGAACGGATCCCCACTTAACTTTTAAAATATTTAAATGTTTTTTCATGGTGAAATTATGCAKTTATTAAAATTTGGATTTTTTGAATTTTTAAATACACTTGAAGATCATTTTTTGTACCACTTAAGGATGATCCTGTGATAATACAATTAATACAAATTTTAATTTTTCAAATAGAAACCTTCCTTTTTTATTTTTTATTAATAAACAGATATTTTTTGAGAATTTTTATGTATCTAAATCAAAATCGAGTTAATAGTTTTTGAGTTTTGTAACTCATTGTTTTAATTTTTCAAAGATAATATTTCTATGGTAATGGGTTAAGTAGATAGAGGGCTTAGATGATTTTAAAAAGTTAGCTATTACTATTGCTTTATCATTATAAATAATTTGTAAAAATGATTCAAGTATAATAAATACTGCATCGGACATAAAATATAGTAGGTAGTTCAGCTAACTAAATTATCACATACAGGCAGGGATCGAAACCGTTTCATATTTTAACGGTTTCGGTTTTTGAGAACGGTTTTCTAAATTTTCTGGTTTTGGTTTAGGTTTTAAGATCGGTTTTTCAAACTTTTTGGTTTTGGTTTCGGTTTCAAAAAAGGTTTTTAAAAAAATTTATC